ACTCTTTCTCAGTTTAGTTTTTGGCACAGAAAGAGGTGGTGTTTCAGTTTGCTAACTCTCTCCTCCTTCTACATTTGAGTTAATCAGCCAGGGTATTCAATAAATCGAAACTTTAACATTCCATAAGTGCTTTAGCAGTCAACATACCAGCAGGGTAAAGTAGGCCAGACTTAAGATATAAAATATTATAGATTTCTGCTTGGGGGGAGGAGGTAGTCTCCAAAGGCCATGTAAAGTAAATAGCTATTTGTTGTAATTGGAGAGCAGGGCCCCCAAGGATTACCCTGGAATCCATGTGTTCAGAACGAGTCTCTGGCTGAGTCTGAGAGCAGCCCCGACTCCAAATAATAACCTGTTGGCACAACATATACCTCCTCACTCTCCATCTGCAATCAGTAGCCAGGGGTATTTCAATCCCGCCTGGTCGGTGGCATTTACATGAGGTTTGCAGAGATCCTAACATTCCTGAGTGGCACCTGTGGACTGGCAGAGTTGAGCTTGGGAGCCAGACTGGAGGAGAGGCCTCCCACCAGGTGGGATGGAGCAGGCTCGTGCAGCTGCTCAGGTTTTTGTGAGATCTGGTTCTTATTTGGCAAGATGCCAAAGCAGCACTGTCTTGGCCCTGGAGGTCTAAAAGGATGGCTGAGGGAACTTGGGCGAGTTGTGGAGCCAGATTAAATGAAGCATTAGCTAGTCATCTAGCTAGGTTATGAAGCAGTGGGGCCCAGGTCAGATTGGTTTTGACTGAGGCTGCCAGAAAAAAGGTATAAGAAGTGAAGAGACTGGAAATTGTCGAGAAAAGGCCAGAGCCTAAAGTGGACAGGTCAAGATGAGGAAGAATAGAGGGAAATCCTGGGACTTGAAAAGGGTGAGAGTACTGAGGACAAACTTTGTCTGTTTAATACTTTGCCTCAACACTTTATTGTTAGCACCCCTGTCCAGCTGTAGCTGGGAAAACATGAAAATTGCTCGTTTTCACTCCCACTTCATGCTGGCTGGGATTCAGGAGAAAGTTTAGGGATATCTGTTCCATCATCATGTGCCACTGGGTTCCCACAATTTGAATTCAGCTAATAGTAAAGTTGGCAAAGGGAAATGATGCCCTAGGACAGCTGGGCAGGGGTGATTCCAGCTGTTGGAGACCCCTGTTACTGAACACAACCCAAGTGATTTCCTGTATGATCTGTCCTTTGGCATCAGGGTTAACAGAGAGTTGGAGAAAAGCTGTGGTGACTCAAATAGCCACACCTCTTGGGTTTCATGATTTGTTCTCACACCAGGTCTTGGGTGGTGAGATCACAAGCTGCCCTCTGCTATTTAATGAGCTCAGAGTGGTCAGAGACATGAGATACTTAGAGAATGAGGGAACCAAGACTTGAAGTTCAGAATTAATCAGCCTATGCAAAGCAAAGAACTAAAAACTCCGGTAGGTTGGAGTTCCTCAAAAGTCTAGCCCTCAGAACTGAATCATGACCCGGTTTCTAGTTTCCTTGCCATCATGGCCACTCTGTGAACATGCTTATTTTTTTCCATATCTCTCTTCAACCACAGTGGAACTAAACACAGTGCTCTCAGTGTGGTCTAACCAAAGCAGAGCAGAACAAGGCAATCCTCTTCCTCATACTAATTACTAGACCTCTGTCAATGTAGCCTAAAATCACACTAGCTTTCCCTCCTCCTCTTTTCTGAGTTGTTTGTTTGCTTGTTTTAATGTTTTGTCTTTGCTTTGGGTTTTTTTTTTGGTTTATTTTGTTTGTTTGTTTGTGTTTTTTTAGTTCTGCTATAAGGCACATGCACTTGCTAGGGAGAGAGAAAGTGAGAAGTCACCTCCCACAGGGGGTGGCCGTGTAGCAATCCCTTCTCCAGTCTTCTCTTTGAATTTTGGGCATGCACACACATCTACCTGGTGTGTTTTTCAAGTCACAGGGTCTGAGACTCGAACCACACAGTAGACCATGTGGGATTTAACCACCCTAATCACCATGCTACTGGCTGACCTCTGTTTTGTCATTTTTACTTTGACCAATTTTACATTAGCTCTTTTATAATTCCACATGTTGTAAGGTGGGGTGGGAGGAGAGAGAGTGTTAATCATTCACCATACTGAACCTACCTGTTTCAGTCAAATTTCTTAAGCCATTGTTGTGTTTGTCGTTCTAACTGATATCTCCCCATTTCAGAGATGGACAGACTGACATACACTTAAAATGCACAGAAACACAAAATAACAGTACACTTTTTCAAGAAAATATACATGGTTGCCGAAAGTGGAGAGGCAGATAAGAGCAGGTATAAAGATAAAAAGAAAGAGATAAAGAGATGATAGATAAATGAAAAGCCCTTGCAGAGACCAGTTATGATGATAGGCTATGAACTACATAAAGAGTACGTTAACTGAACTGTCTGCACTTGAAGCTCGCCCTTTCCCCCAATAAAACCCCATATGCAAAAAACCTTGAGAAATTTATTTGGGGGTCCAAAGTGCAGGGCCTCTTACATTGATTCTAGTTAAACTTATTTTGTTCTAGCTAGCCCATTTTTCCATCCTCTTAAAATCTCTTTGGATCTTGATTATCTCATCCACCTTAACTGTATGTCTTTGGGAACTAGGGTAAGCAAAGGGCCTCTTCTACAGTCATCTATTGGGTTGTCGGAAAAGTCATGCATTTTTGCATAGAAAAAATACATGATGACTTTTCCAACAAACCAATATTAAAATGTTAAAATGTTAAACAGAGGGCCAGCAGGCTGTGGTGGGTAAGGCACTGGACTCCCACATGGCCTATCACAACAGTTTGAGTCCCGGACCTGGAGACTTGCTTTCTCACTTTCCCTCTCTCTCTCTGTTTCTCTCTGGTCAAAATAAAGAATAATAATAATAAATAATATTAATTAAATAATTCTAAAACAATATTAAACAAGGGGGGCCAAGCAGGTGGTGTGGTGGTTAGGGTTGGGCTCCCACATGGTCAACCCCCT